TTGTTAAAAGAGCCGCTACGAATGTTTTATGTGAAAGTGAATATTCAGCCATGAGGATTGACCCACGCCGATGTTTCGCAATTTTAGTCTGGATAGAAGCTTAAAATTTATATTTGAAGTGTATTTTGCATTAATTTCCGCGAATGACATTGTAAATTGTTAGCGCCACATATTTTTATTTAATCTTGGTTGATCGAAAGCTTATCTCATTATACTTAATAACGTAGTATAGATACATATCGAAATGCTACGCAAAATCCTATCAAAATTTTTGAAACCTATTTTTTTACATTTTTTTAAATTTTGTTTTTATGTAGAATGTTAGCGTCACATATATGCCTTTTATAAAAATGTAATCGCGCTATATTTAATATAAACAAAGATACATACGTATTGAAATGCTACGCCAAATTCTATCAAAACAATTTTTATATAAAGAGAAAAAGTAAAGGCAAATTATTTTGCTGTTGCATCGAACTATTTCTAAACAAAAACAAAAATTGGAAGCCAAATGAAAATTTCAGTGATTTGGTGAACCGCAATTGTTTAGTTTTGCTGGTACTTATTTATAACCTATAAAGCCAACGCGAAAATTGGATTTTTTTTCTGCTCACGAAATCACATTTCATTTTACTGATCCATTTTAGGAAATTGCGAAAATTCAATTTTAATATGCAAAAAATGGACCTTTTAATTTGAAATAGAGTGCAAAATTCTCGAAGATAAAGCTTAAAAGAAAATTTTATCGCAATCGCGTCCGCAAATAAAACGGAGATACAACCACAGCGGTGCAATAAAAATATTTCGGACGTATTGTAAAAATGTTGGCCCTCTTATTGATTCTAGTTTGCTGTTTAATAATCATGTTAATAAAATATTGCAAAAATCATATTATATCAACTTAAATCACTATATTTGCATAAACAAAATTTAACTAAAGATATTCAAAACCCAAGCTTTGTGATAGTCTTCAGTGTTTTCCCAAGTCGCTTATTGTGGAATAGTTTACTGGTCAGCTTTAAACTAACTTTAAAACTCATGTATACTTCGACCAGGAATATAGTGCTTTCACGTCCGACCCCGTGATTAACTTTGCCTACTGTTTATTACTCCAAAACCGCAGCTCCTGCCGGGCAGACCTTTACCCGTAACCATTCCAGGACCGTCCTAGGAATTTATCTACCTACAGTAACAAACGGGATACAAGTATGTTTTCAATCTTTTTCGCCGAGAAATTCTTGGAACATGTACATAAAAAAATTAGTACAAACTAACAATTTATTGCGCTCTATTTCATTACATTTCTACATAGTATCATTATTCATATACAAAATATTAAATATAATAATAATAATAAAGTATCAGCCACTTAAAAAATGGTCTTTGTCGTTCTCGATAAATATTTTCTTCCTAGACCAGCTTTGTATTGATATTTGAGCGACCTCTTGAACGAATTACGTTTATGGTACTATCATTAAATTTTAGTGCAGTGTTATTTATTCTTATATGCGCTTTCAACTCAGACCAAATCATTTCAATCGGGTTAAATATACATTGATACGGGGGTAATCTCAAGATTTCATGTCCGTTTTGTTGTGCTATCGAATCGATTTTGTAGTCTTCATTTAAATGTTTTATTTTTAATTATTTCAGAAGTTGTTTTTTCGTGTAGCTCTCTTGAAAATATAAATCATTTTCTTAGAGAAATTCTTTCATTTCTTCTTTATTTGAAGAAGTATTTCGAATTTTTCTAATTTGGGCTGAATGATACGAGGAATTATCCAACACAATAACAGTATTTGGCGATAGTTTTAGCAACCGTTTATTTTCAAATTTCAAATATTTCCGCGGTCATGTTTTCATGATATTCCACACTTGAATCTTTGAGGTTTTTGGCAGATAGAAATAACGCATCTTCCACCCAACCATTTTTGGACCCAGCATGAAGAAGTATTATGCATTTTCCATTTGTAGGCGGCACGTCTAGTATACACTTGTTACTGTTATCACACCATCCTTTTTTTTACTGTGTCGTGAGCATCGAACCACGTTTTCGTCTAAATACGTCATTGGTCTATTTTGCTCTCGAATTTTTTCAATTGTATTTAAAGAATCCACCCTCCATCGCGAAAGTCTTTGAGATTCCATTAGCACGTGACTTTTATTAATTGATTGGAACTGAAAATCCATTTTCTTCAAATAAATACACAACGACTCTTTTGTACAGCTAATGTTTAAGTCTGTCAGTACATTTTTATGCAGTTCTTCTAGGATTAAAACACTATTCACTGTATAAACGCAGATTATACGCCTAATTTGATCTGCGTGTTGCTCTTTAAAAACTCGCGAAGTACTAGCATCTTCTCTCACTTTCCTCTTGACTATCCCATTTGCAACAATTTTTCTTAAGTTCACTTCGAAAGGTCATGTCACTTGTTTTTATTGCTGTTTCTACTCCCCCTTCTGAATTTCTTATAAAATTGTAAACATTCAATTTGCTTAGCATCCAAAAACAAATGGATGGGTTTTTTATTTGCTGAGGTAGTTCGTCTTCTAAATTATCATTGGGTTCGACTACCATCTCCACTTCGTCTTCAAATTCTGCGTTGTTTGCCATGTCTTCTTCTAACAGGGGACCATCTGCTTCATTCCACGGTCTCCACATTTTAAAGTGTTAAAAAACAGAAACCTTCAAAAACATTTTAATTGTAAGATTCTAATAAATATTTATCTGTATTCTTTTGAGGTACCTTTATATGCCGCGAATATAATCTGTAGTCCTAAGAAAGACTGTTGTTGTTTACATATCGAAGACACAAAAATACAAGAAGAACAATGTTGTTAATCGACAAGCACACAAGACAAATATGATTATTTTCAAACTTACCTGGAAGATCAATAGAGTATAGGTAACTTACCCTTTGCCGCGAATATAATCTGTAGTCGTAAGAAAGACTGTTGTTGTTTTCAAATCGAAGACAAAAATGATTATTTTCAAATTTACTTGTAAGATCAATAGAGTACAGGTAAGTTACCTTTTGAACTATTCAGTGAAAACTTCCACGCAGGGTCGAAGCTCGAAGATGAGGTACATAAATACATACTTAGTGGAAGGATCACAGTCACATACCTTCGTAATATACAGGAGCATATTGCAATTTAGATTAAACTCTTAAGAACGATGCTTATCACCTGATGTTAAAATAAACGCTTCTACCTATTCGAAAATACCGCGCAGCATCAATACTTAATCAAATTTAAAACGGTCCACTTACTTTTCAAATAAAAATTTCAAGTTTCTACAAATATTCGTTACGGTCCACCTCAGGGAAGACCTACTTAATACAGATTTAACATCTGTTGGGATGGGTTTTACCACGGTCCTGCGAAGGTCTGCGGTTAAGGTACTGTAAAATACTTAAAACGTCAAAGCAATAAATGCACTATATTTTTGGTCGTGTTATATTTGTTACTGCTACTGCTATGGACTGGCTAAATTTGGCGACTACTAGCTGTTTTCTATATAAACTCACAAAAAATCGAGCTCTTCCCTGTTTGATTATTATTCTAATTAAATCTGGTACCGGCCATAGGCATTTAACCCGACGTAGTAGTCTGTATCGCGCCCGCTGTAATTAACAGCTCTATTTAAGAGGTGTTTTAGCTACCATGCCGTGCAGTGTTATAACAAGATCCCCCAATATAAAAAAAGGGTAACGTTAGAGCATTTAAGTTGGAAATTAGGTTTTTGTGTTATTTTTTTGTCTGAAGATAATATCTCTTTATTTCACAATTTTCTTCTCTCCAGTTTTTGATTATCTAAATTAAATTGGAATATTTTTTGGCCTTGTTTTGGCACCATTCTTTGTTTTAGTTTGTTTCCTGTATTGAAAACAAATACTCTGTGCCCTAAATTGTTGTAATTGTTTTAAATAACGGTATTATTTATTTATTTATTATACCGGATGGCACAAGAAATTAATTTTAAACGGTTGGACGCGGTGATTTGAAATGTGGGTCACATTATGAAGTCAATGCACTTTTTGGATTAGGGAGGATAGGACCATTTTTTCCAACATTTTTTATTATTTTTTAATTCTTAATTAAATGGTTGAGTGACATATAACGTTTAATGTAATGAACTAACATATTTTTCAAAATTCCAACACTAAACCATTTTCCAACTAAAGAATTGATTCCTATTCCTAAATTTTACACTAAAATAAAGCAAAAAGCAACAACCAAATGAAAGCGCGTTTTGTATTGCTCAAAAATGAAGACAAGCTTTCCATTTAATCACCCTATTAACATTTTAAATTGAAATTATATTTCGTGAGGAAAACTTGTGCGCAATGTATACCTACGCAAACTACTAGAGTGAATGATATGCTACAAGCGCACTGGAGTTGGTTTTTATAATTAGGGTTTGGAGAAAATCGATAGAGACACGGGCATCATGCAAATTCCCCTCTAATTAACTTTATTCAGTAATTTGTCCAAACCTAATGGTTACTAATAGTATTACCAACTTTTCTCCGAGTTAATTCATTAACGGAGTGAATGGTTTTACATCTTTTCAAGGTGAAAGGGTTATTTTGAAAATTGTCATATGTCCATGTTTCTTTGTACAATTTTTAAATAAAAAACAATAAAAATATAATCTTTCATATTTAATCTTTCGCCCTATGGACCCAGTAAATTTTGGTCTAAAGTGCTTCCAATCTCGTATTAAAGCAAATATCGTTTTAGTTAAGTGACGTATAAAATATCTTGGTAATAATATATCTGGCGTTGTGCTGAAACATATCCATCCAATTTTGTTCAATTTAGAATTAGAATATTGAAATTAATATCATTATTTTAAAAAACTGTTGCATTATTTATATTTGAATGACTTGAAATTCCAATTTAGGCCATTTTGTTACTAACTAGAGTTGAAAAGGTACTATGTACTATGTGCAGAGTTGTTTTTATTGAATGGACTTTTTCTTGTTTTGCAGGACATCCGTATTGTTCGTCTCCATTACTTTCATTGTTCTGATGATAATTTCTCTCACGTGGCTCGTTTTCTACTACGTGCAGAGGTTCAGGTACATCCGTACCAAGGACAAACTTACGGTGAGTGTTCATCGACCATCGGATTTGCGACATATGGTTGATTCGGTTCGCTAAATGAACGGGTAATAATATGGTGTAGATACTCGGTCATAGTTTGATGATTTTAATAACGGTACATATAGCACTACACATTACCTGGTCTAGCTTATTAAATGAATCGGAGCAGTTAAAAGTTTGGTTGTACCCAGTCCGCCCACTCTCTTTCCGAACATCTTGTATAAAAGTGACCTAATTTTAATTTTAAATTTTTGCATTTGCACTGTTTGCTAAATTTAATGTATTGGTTATGATCTATTTCAAAAAGCTGTAAAGTAATAAAACCTCATTGAATATTCGGGTATTTAGTCCTTTTTTATGATTTCATGTATATTTTAAATAATAACTTTTTCATGAACTATTCATAATCTTATAATACTGTAAATCCTACGGTTTAATACTGATTTGATATCGTAAGCTGATTTCAATCAAGTGATTTAAATCAGCATTAAAAACATGATCAAAATCAAACTCATATTTTTTAAAATCTTTTTTATTGAGACCAACACAAAAAGCACAACGTAAAAATATCACAAATAAAAAATATAATACAACTCACAAAAAAAGACATATAACATAGTAATATACACTTTACGCATCTGCATTTTCGTTGTACAGTTGGAACGAATATACTAATTTTCCCCCTTTTTCTATCCCCACCCTGTTCCTTATATATGGGTGTAGAAAATCAAAAGTGCTGACAGTTCGCTCTACTGACGCTGAGGAAGCAATTTCACACAGAACTCTTTTATTATTGGTTGCTGTTTCTCAATTTCTGGTTCATCCTTTTGTCATGTCGACCACTATATTCCATTTACGTTTTTTATTATGTCATAGGAAACATACATTTTTGCTGGCATTCAACTTTATTACCAATGGTAAAAGTACAGTGTTCCCATATAAATTATTAATTGTTTCTAAAGTCAGATTCTTTTCGTCGGGTGTTAACTAATATTTTCATATATATTTGACGATTACTTAGCGTGTATATTGTACTGTATTGTTTACAGTGGCTTTAAAATATTTTATAATTGCTACAAAAAAACGGGAAATACATATTCTCATGAAATAAAAAAAAATCAATGAAAATAAAAAAATCAATGATTTTTGATTTTTTTTTTAATAAAAAAAATCAGAGAATCTTTATCCAACCATTAAGAAAAATAAAGTAAATATCCTTAAGGCAAGGAACCATAAATCAAAAAACGGCATAGAATTGACCATTGTGCTCTCATCGCATATGTTAAAAAAGTCGCCCCAAATTGCATTACGAGTAATTTACACGCGTCGAACAAGTCTATAACAGGTTTATAATATCTTCAAAAAGTGATATTGCTATACCGTCTTTAGGAGTTTTAGGTTTGTCAGGCTTGTCCGACAAGTTTTTAAAAAACCTTTATATTGCACACATTTATATTGCAATTTTAAATGTTTAAATAATAAATTTTTCTTGCAATTGAATCAATAGATACATTTTTTGATTTGCTTGTTAATTTTTTATTTCCAAATAATTGCCATAAATATAATAAAATAAATAATCATATAATAAAAATGAATTAATTGGCTTAGCTATTATTTTTTATTAAACAAAATCTTTTCATGTAATATGCCACAATATTGCACCTATATGTAAAGTTACCAAAAAAATAAACTTTTAAAAAAATGTTTTATAACACGAGTATCAAATTATTAAAATTGTATTTACATAAGATTGTCGCCATTGTAGGCAAAATATATCACAACCACTTAATTCAAAGAAGGTTTAAACGATTCAAAGGAGGTGACAAAAGTATCCTCTAGCAAACGATTTACCATTAATCCCAGACAGCTAGAAAAATTGAGAAATGGTATAAAATAATCTCCTATTTCACTTATTTGCCATTTGTATGACAAAGAAAATAATACCCGTTGCTGCCAGTCTCCCTGTAAATAAAAATTACCTCATAAAATTGGTTGCATTACCTGGCCCATACCACATGTTAATTAAATCTATATATAGGGTGTCCTATAATTTATCCTCCATGGAGCAACGGCACTGCAATTCAAAATACGTGTAAATTTAAATTAAATGAAAAGGTCAAAATCATGCTTATCGCCGAAGTGTCTCTGTTTTGAAATTTTCGGAAAAAAGTAAAAATGGACATCCTGCGTATACTAAATAAGTTGATAATTATGGATAATTTTACAGGAGCATCATTTGAACTAATTTGAATTATAGTTTAATTTCGGTGGTACTATAGATATCAGATAATGTACATTCATGTCATACACCATTATTATAATAATAACTGTAATAACCATAATTTGATGCAAACATGACTTTTAATGAAATCTAATATCAAAATATATCTTTTAGCGCAAGTTAGGGAACGCGGCTAAGAAAGCCTTATCGAAAATTCCGACTAAGCACTTAAAACTTGACGACAAGGTGAGTATAGGTAATTAAAAACAATTATTTAATTAAAATATTGTGAAGGTGATATTTACAAGCTAAAAACGAGTTTCCTTTGGTTATTGAAAAGACATTTTTTCATGAAGGGTTTTTTCGAATATTCAACAAGAAATGAAACGATCCTGAGAACTACCTTAAAATAATGTCAATATTTTAGGAGATGCAAGGTGATGGAGAATGCTGTGCGGTTTGCTTAGAACCTTACAAGTTAAACGATACCTTGAGGATCTTACCCTGTGGGTAAGTTTAGATTGCTGTTAGTTCCGGTCTAGTGATACGTGTGTGTAATGTACAATTTTTTTTCAGCCACGAATTCCACAAAAATTGCATTGATCCCTGGCTATTAGAACACAGGACTTGTCCAATGTGCAAAATGGACATTTTGAAATATTATGGTTTTGTGGTCAGTAACAATGCACCCGATTACCTATTCTAGTCGATAGAAGTAGAAGGTGGTCCACTAATGACGTAGCCAGCCTATTTCTTCATATATTTTCGCTGTGATATAAAGACGTATAGGGCACATCATTATCAGTACCTACCGCGCACACCACACAAACCTAGCACAACACAAAAGCTTTCTATTGCGTAGGACTACTTTTTGGTATCTTAGAAACAGTAAAACTTATCAGGTGGAGGTAATGCTACTTTGATTTCTTTTTCGGGTTTTGCATGTTTGGACACTCTTTTTGTTGACTGAATGCCTTTTCATTTGAGTTGTTAGTTGATCGCTTTTTTAAATTGCAAGAGGTCAGGAAGCAAAGGTCTTAAACTAAAAATTAAATTAAACTCTATGGATAAACAAAATGGTTAACATCAATTGGTTTGCATGATAGAAAATGAGTTGCTAATATTGAGTTAAATTCATTCAACGTTAATAATAATGCCATTCCAAGGACATAAAGAATAACCTTATCCAATACTTTATAGTTTACTGGTAGTCAAGAGAGTATCCTTCAAATAGACGGATTAGAGGATCACGTAGTACAAGTATCCGACACAAGCCGCTCTTTGAGCGCAAGACGTGGTGCCATAAGCCCTTTACCAGAAATTAGAGCTGTGATAGTGACTGATCAGCAGGTAAGTATGTGTGTTATGGGATGTTCATTTTTTGCTTTTTGTTGATAAACAATGTAAATTTCATGAGCTATTGGCTCCTCCTTCTTTTGAGATTTGGTAGCCCGTTGGCTATGGCGAAGAAGTATCATGAGGATGGTTACCTCTTGGGAGATAACGATCTTTTGCAGGTGATATACATGTACAGGTGGATAGCAGCTACAGGAACGGAGGGTTGAAAAAAAAATTATTGCCGTTTGTGTTTTTAATTTAGAGGGTGCGATAAGATCAAGAAAAAAGTTTTGCCATGTATTTGTGCATTAGAAGCTTGAGTCTCCATATTGATATAGCAGTAAAATATGCTCGACTGTGGGAATTGCTACATATTTTACATAAAATTAATTATAATGTTGAAGCCTAGTATGTATAAGAAATATTTTCATAAAAGATGAAAAAGATGTAGTAGATTCTTTGTACTCAAAATATATATAAATAGAAACATGAAAAAGCTATGTTTTTTTGCCTGCTGGACTAAGCTGCTGACTAGGTTCATTTTCAGCTTTCATGGTTTACTCCCACTAATACGCTTTAATCATACAATTAATTTTATATGAGCAACATACCCGTCCTGATAGCCGAGTATAATGTACTGTGGCTATATAACCAAGACCAAAGAGTATAACGTAGAGGAGAGGGTCGCGTATACTGTTACGAATGCCATCTATTATTTGTATCCAAGAACTAAAGTACTGTCATGGCGGTAAAAGTAATGCGTCACACTGAAAAGACAGTAGTTTGAAACGGATAACGGCACTTTATTTATATTTTAATAAAGAAAAAAATTAAAACTATTTGGACATTTTTTTTTCATATTTCACCGTAGGTTTTTATGACTGGACACAATCACTAGAGCCGTTGAAACTCGTGTACGCTTTTTAACAATGCCACTAATGGAAGCCTTCCCCTCTATCTTATACTCTTTGACCAACACTTTTTTCTTTACATATACATACTTCCCTAGCCCTTTTTTGTCAACCCATTCACCACAATCATCGCTACCACCTGCACAGGTCAATTACCTACAGCACCTCTAACGTAAAGCTTCGCCAGCATCTGTACTTCTTCGCGATGGTCATCGAGGCCACAGAAATGTTTAACGACCATGCAAGTGAAAGTAAGTGCCGAAATTTTACATTCCTTGTTTTTTTCCTCTTTCTGTGAAAATTCCAAGTAACGGTATAAATAAAATTTTGTATCTATATCGGTTGCAGGAGTGTTAATGTTTAATGTTAGAATGTAATTTTAATTTTTGCTGCATTAGTGTTTGTAAGGAATATTATTTGTTAAGTAGCTGATGTGTTCTTCAAAATCGTCTTATAACTAGTGACGAAACGGGAGATATTTTGATTTCGAAACAATTAAAACCACGTTTTTGAGCTTTCATATAGCTACTTAATTAAATGATACACAATTATTGTTCTTGCTGTCTTCGCTGTATCACAATATTCACGCGCCTCTGTTTCTTTTTAGCGACAATGTTTATTCGATAGCTCGGCAGATGATGAAAGTAGTCGGGCATCTACGCCAAATGAGATGACACCAAGCCTGTCCCCAAAAAATCAGTTTCCGTCACCCGCGGCGATCAACCAAGATCTGTGTGTCAGTTGTCGAGCAGCTCGTCAATCGAGTAACTTACCATCTGATTCGTTGCAACGGCCATCAACCTCTGATATGGTTATCGAAATTGACGAATATGAGGCTAAAAACTGACTGTATTCTCTTGTGATGTGATGTGTGGTGACAAAATTGTTAAGTGATATGTAAAGACTTGTTCTACTTTGTTATGTAGTTTATTGATAGCACTGTTATCAGGTTTGACTACGTTTTTGTTATCTAAAGGTGAAGTCAGCAAAGGTATATATTAAAAATTACCATATTATCATATATCAGGAGGTTGATTGAAATCAAATAGCACTGATTCATTATTAATAACTGTTATTTAATTTAGTTTCTGTGATACATCAGTATTTGGTAAAAAAGAAGTTATGTTAAAGGCAAAGTTCTGATTATGCCATTTGGAGTAGTGAATCGGTGTTACTGTTTTAATCTAGATATTTCTATGCCATTGATAGACATTTGATGTTAAAGTTGGTTCAGATTTTTGGATGCTTCAAAAATAACATGTTTACTCGCTTATTCTTATCATGGATGAACATTTTCTGCATTTGGCACTGATAAACAGTACAATTTTAAAAAATGTTTTCAGATTGTGGTGCTATTTTTAACAGATAATTGCAGTAAGATCGAACGAAGTACTTATTTCATTTTAACATTTAGGTGTTAACATAAAATAAAATAAAAAAGCTACCAAGCACTTAGTGACCAATTTCAGCCAGCAATATTGTTTAAAATATTGTACTTAAAATGTTAGACATCTAGATTTCGTAATTATGTTGAGTCTTTTGGAAATGGTTTAGCAATGTTACTGATTTCCGTGTTCCCTAATTTTGTGATACAATTTAGTTAGTGACTTTTTGTAATAAATCAATGAGGTGCTAGTTGTTTCATTGCATGAAAATTAAGATATTTCTAAGAAAAATTATTATTAGGTTGACTTTAGGAATTTAGTAATATTTTTGCTGTTTTAACATAACTTTTTGTATAAAATTGTCATACGAAGACATAAAAATGGGGTTAAAATCGACAATCGGTAATGGGGAGTGACCTTGAAATGAATGACGTAAGGTAGTAGCATAGGCGATGGATGACTTCATTTGAACTGGCGAACTGGTGGCAAGTTTATGGCCTAGTAAAGTGCAGTTCAAATTACAAAAAAATTGTTAGGTTGAACAAGCTTTTAATTTTGATGGTTAGGATGTAATGTAGCAAGATCTCTTAGAAACAAAAAATGGAATTACCGATTGACGACTCAAATTTAATCAAATAATCAATCAAATTGCAAAATTTGCAACAGGAGTCATAGGACTCTGTAACAACTCAAAATGTTTGACTTTGTCCCAAATTCATAGCCACTTTTTGACCCAATTATTCCTTCATTCACTTACAGAGTCTTAATGATTTTTTTTGTTTATTTGCAGCAAAAAAATCAAATACAAATAGTTTCGAATTTAGCCAACGTTTTGATTTGTGATTTACTCCTGAGCACTAGGACAAAAAAAATGCTGATGGATACTGAACATTACTGGTACTAGTCAAGACAAGACGAGTAAACTTTCAAATTTAACGACGACCCGAAAGATCCTTTCAAGTAATGTTCGATAAAATATTGTTTACCAATATATTATGTACTGGAGGATTATTATCAACCTTATACCAATACGGACTGTGCATTGTAAACTACCGATTTGGTGAGAAGTGCCTTGGTACTATTAGTTAAATTGCTTTACAATTCAAAATGAAGTTTTTTTGTAAAATCACTTAAATTTCATTTTTGAATAATTCCAGTAAGTTAATGTTATACAATTATTTCAATGACTGATTTCAGAAAATATAATGAATACTAAATATGGTGTTATATTTTTGACTTATATACCCGTTTCAAACAACAAAAATTTTCTACAGTTGATTAGAAAAAAGAAGTGATTTAAATTTACGCCTGTAAAAAAAGCATCGACGGCTCAAATAAAAAAACATTTTCGAAATATATTTTATTTTTTATGAAAGTACAGTGCAACCTCTTTAATCGGAACAGCTAGTTGTAACGATCTATTCCGATTAGCGAATAAGTCGATAAGTAACAAAATTGATTCGCTTTTGAAAAAATGGCGAAAAAAGATTGTACCACCTTTAAATAGAGTTCGGATCGAAGAAAAATTATTTAAACCTAAATCTAAAAACCTAGTGGGGTTTACTCAAAAACAGTCAAACATTTTTAAACAAAAATAACTTTTACATATTTTTGCTGCCAAAATCTGATTAAATATATATATTTTTTAAAACCCGGCAGTTTTTCTAGTATTTGTATCTGCTCTGAAAACCACAAACTCAATGAATGGCGTTTCTTAGTCAAATTTGAGTACCAAAGTTACATGTTCTTTTTGGCATTATTTTTGATTTCCTAAGGGAAAATCTAATTCAGAGAACTGATAATTGCCCAAAGTCCGTTGCTTAACTGCTTAAAGGACTAATGCGAACAAGTCTGCAGTATCGTTGGGTGTTCTGATTAGAGAGATTGCACTGTAATAAACTTCTTAAATGTGTTTCATTTCAGTTCATTCATTCCAATTCATTATCAACAAGTAAACACCAAAATCCATTGCAAGGAAGCAAACATATTATAAAATGTTAAATATAGTCTACTTAAAAATCTAATATTAAAGTAACAAAATAACTTCCGGCTTTGGTATTGCTAATGTTCCTGTTGAATTTTGCTCCTAGATTGTAATTCTTTACTTTTACAGCTAAAATTATACTTTACATAAAAAGAGTTACCCCGAAAAGAGATTAAAGAACATTTGGTAGTATTCCTGATATTTCATGAATAGTGAATTTTGAGCAGACATAAAACTTTCTTTCTTTTTTGCATTCTTTGACAGTTATTTCGATTATAGGATGTTTTCCTACAATCTGCCTATGGTTGTAATAACGCAAATCTAGGTTTCTCCAATTGGAAACATGATAGAAATAAAGCTGAAAAAAAATTAATTAATCAGAAGTACAATATTATAAGCCTACAATTTACATCACCACAACCACTTCCAAGTAGTAAAGTGTTGCCATACAGGTAAATGCATGTAATGTTGCACTTGAATATTTCCCAAATATTAAACAATTTCTTGCTAGATTTATTGTGCCTCCCTATTATATTGATTTCGATGTAGTCTTCTATAAAATCTGGGGCGTTTGAGGATTTATCTGAGAAGTTATTTTTATCTATAAGAAGAAAATACATTACAAAAAAAATTGAAACATTTTACTTACTTACAAGTACTAATAATAATATTATCCCTCAATATATGTGTATTCGAGCTATCAATCATCAATGGTGCATAGAACTTAATGCTTGTCTTTTTCTGCATCACTTCCATTGGAGTTAGGTCAGGTTTGTCATAGTTTAATACCTTGATACTATCATTAATTAGAAACGTGCACATTCCATTCCACATCTTGTAGCATGTTATAGACTGTGGGGAGTATATTCTAGTAAACCAGAGTTCTTTTACTTCCCGTTTACCATTTTCGTTGATCAGTTTTATTATGGTCATCCTACCACCCACTTTTTCAATACAAATGTAATTTCTGTGGATACTACAAATTAAAATGATAGAAAATATATTGCCGACAAAAAAAAATTATTGAATGAAATAACTTAGGGCATAGGTAACTGTATACAAAGCGAACTTTTTGACACTTTTGCAGTAAAAAATCTTACCAACACCATTGTTAAAATTTCTCACTGTTTAAATAATTAAAATTATAAAAATGTTTTCAATTTAAAATTTTTGACATATCTTTTTTTATATGCTGATTAGTTACTAAATGACTTGTCAAATTTCCGTTTTCTTTTAAATATTGTACTAAGCATTTCTAGACCTACACTTATATGAGTGTTTTACCTTTTTAACAAGAAGATCGAAGTATTTGTCTCTCATATTCACACTTCTTATATAAATAAACCTGTTTTTTTGTATATTTGTAAACACCCTGCAAATTTGTTATCAGTTCAATTCAATTTTTTAAGCTTCTCCCAAATCCTTCTATATATGTAAACTTGAAAGTGAACTCAAAAATAAAATTTCTAAAGTCGATGTGCAGCAGATACTCCCAATTTATGGAACTATTTTTTTAAAGTAAATTTTTTGGGGTTGGGTAATATTTATTCGAGTTTATTAACTTGATGCTTAAGCTATTGTTAAAATGTTTATTTATATAATACCTGTGGGACTTTATATCCAAAATATCAAATTGAGAGCTTTCAACTCCATAAAATGAAATAATAGACAATCCTCTGGGATATGCTATAACGAGACAGATGTCTAAATAATTGTGATGATCAAAATCATTATCTAAAAGACATGGGATGTAAGTTTGTTACTATGTGAAAACTATTGTTTAAAACCATACATTCTAAAAAGGTCAACTTTGTGAGTTTCAAAGCTACAACACGGTTTTCATAAAGTGGTTTCCAATGCTTTGTAAATAATCTAACTCTGCCATCCTCAGAGCCAATTGCAATATGATTATCTAAAAATTGAAAAGTTCATATGTATCAGAAAAATTTGCTTGAAAATAAGATACTTGAAACTGCAATGCAAGAAATTTTCTGAAATTTTATCGGACATAATACTGGATCGAAAATAATAATTTTCTTGTAATCTTCCCATGACAACCAGTTTACATAAATATAAAGCCATTTTTCTTTAGAATAACTGTCATATTTTGGTAAGTATTCTACAAGTTCATCACTGGGTATTTCTTCATGACAACACCATTCCCATAATTTTGATTTCTAAAAATAATACATTTATATGAAGCTGAAGGTAGTATGCACATATTTTCTCACCTCAGTCAGATAGTCTATAGTGCTTCGCACAAAACCACAAGATTTTCGCGCAGACAACAAGGTTTTACCGTCGCACTTCAAAAGAATTTTTTCCAAAATTTCTGCTGGTACTCTCATTTTCTAGTTAAAATTTGCAATATTTGATAACATTGATCCAAGCAATTTTATTCCCAGCTCGGTTGGGACCCGCACAGAAAAGTAAATTTAGAACAAAAACTCATCATTGGCTCATTTTTATTTTTATTTCTACGATAATCGTTTAATTCTCAACAGAGTTTTCAAAGCCAAACCTTTTTATTTTAACAACACAACTTTTTGTTTACCCTTGAAATCTTCACAACAAAAGCTTTTTGTCATGTCTACTGCGAAGTTAGTAATACAATTTCTTCTTCGTCATTTTTCTAACTAGTGGCCGAAAACACTGGAACAAAAGCAAGGGCGCGAATATGAGATGATGGTTACTTCTCAAACTCTGCGTTAGCCAGAAAGTGACATACTACGTCTATCAATATTAAAGATTTGGCATTAGTTTTGCATTGCAGAATACATCATGAAATGAGAAAGAATAAATTTAATATTATTTAAGCACAATAATTTTATACCGAGAAGTATATGGTATCTTTTGTATGAGTTGAAAAAAAAACTGATAAATTAGCACTCTAGATGATTGTTATATTTTAATTCATAATTACCGAATGATCTTAACTATAGCATATTTTTCTGATTTCTGATAGTACAATAGAACTTTTGTGATAATGTATCAGAATTTTTTAATACCTGCAATTCTCTTAAAATTTGTAACTTGTTCCGGATTTGAATCGCAACTAACTTCACCCGAATTCGTAATTCAACAAAAGCGCATGTGCGAAACACTCTTACAGGTTGTTTCTCACGAGTAGTTCATGTTTTTGTGTTGGGAAGAGGAGAAGTAATTTAAAGCCTTCTGCAGTTGAATTTGCGGAACGTGTAATTTGGACTGCGTTGTGTTCTGGTAGTTCGCGATTAAGGATATTTACGTGCGTTTGTGGATAATTCATCTAATTATCTGGCAAAAAATACGCTTGGTGTAATGGGGGTTGTACTTCCTCCTTTGGAATTTACGGAATGTTTGAGTGATAGTCCTTATTTTCGCGAGAATCTTCACAAACATGAAAGGGAGCTGGAAAAGACAAATCAACAGATCAAGAGGATTATTAAGGAAGTGAAAGACCTTTTGTCCGCAGCCAGACGTAAGTTTTGCAGTTGTCTTAAGTAAAAAAAATAAAACGTAACGGGTAGGCTAAAATTCTACCACCAGTTTTTGATTTATTTTTTGGGCTTAATTTAGATTTGGCTTCTTTGCTGAACGTGTCGCATTATGTAGGTTTCCCTTACTTTAGGCAAATCTGTGTCCTTAAATAAATGTTTGATTCTCCAGAATGTCACAATTATTCTTATTGGAACCAATTTAAATTGGCAAGGTATTGGTTGCTGTTGTTAAATTTATTTATTTATTTTCTCATTTAAAGTGGTCGTTGAGAAATATCTATCTGCATAAGACCTAAGCGTTATCAAATTTTGTCGACTGAAAATTTGAAGATAAATTGCATTTCATTTCGTTATCGTTATCGATATTAGTCGAGAAATTAATATTTATATAATATAACTATTATCTAGATGATTATCTAGAAGATCCAAAAATGACACAAATTTAGTACATGATCTTCAACTTCATAAATAAAAATGCCAGTACCGGCAAAATTAAATGGATAACTTTCATGGCTACGTTTAGGACATCTCGTGCCCATTTTATATTCTTTGGGGCATAGGTTTTAATGTTTTCACCGCGATTTTTACCAATTCACCAAAAATTTATTGAGAATTATGCTTATACACTCCTATGGTAGAAAGAAGGTATAACCCGAGACCATTATTGGTTTTAAATTTAATTTTGGTAGAGCAAAAGCATATCTTCTCATATCTCCTCGTATTTCTCCGAATTTCCTCTCATATTTTCTTAATATTAGTAATATTGAGATTTTTTAAATTGAATCGCGTCGTTACGAGCGATTTTGATAAGTATTAGAGGTGTTAATCCACCTAAGTTTTTTTTAAATAATTAGAACTGAAAATTGGAAATTTAATCTAATATTAACATTTCCAACTAATATTTCAAACAAGTAGCTACTGAAGCTAAAGTGCTGTGGAGTGCAATAATAAATAAATTAATTTAAAAAGACTTTTTTTTTTGTTTATTAATGGTTTGTCTTAATCTTCATCGTATTGGCTTTACACACCTATTGTTATTGGGTAAAACCACTAACAAAAAATTTATTCTTACTTGAGTGACAAGGCAGAGGCGGACCAGGCACATTTCTTTCTTTCTGATATATTTCTTGAGTGTTGATCATTTGTTGAATAATCGTTTTTACTGTGCGTTTCGAAAATGTTATTCGTCGAAATCATTTGTCGCTTGATGCAAAACAAGTTATGAATAAAGTGCATGAATCAGTAGAGGACTTATTAAACAAGATTGCTTTCGAAAATCTTCACTGGGCGGGGAAAGTTCGTAGCGCGTAGCGCCAAGCAGCTTTTTGTTATAAAAAGAAAGCGCTTCGCAGTTTCGTGTGGTAAAGGGACGCATTGTTTTTCTATCATGCTCCTGCGGACCATTACGGAACTTTCGCAAAATCGATGTAGTTTAATTGTGCATGCACCCTGTATAAAATTTCTTTCACATCTCGTCGAACTTCCAAGTTACAGCAAACATCGAATATCTAGCGCCCTGTATAATTGACGAAACCTGAAACTCTCTCTCGACACAGTTTACGATACTGTTCAAATACAATTATCCCATCTTTAACGGTTTTTCATTTATCGCCAATAATTTACCCATAAAAACGGAAATTTTTAGGATAATTTACCCACAAAAACGGAAATTTTCGGGATCTTTTAGATTTTTGCCCATGAACGAAACACCCTGTATATGATTCAAACAATGTTCGAAGTAGAGATTATAGCCCTGGATCTTCCACGTTTTCTGGTTTAAAATTTTTTTGAAAATACTAAATGGTTTTCGAGAAAATATTTTTTTTCTGGAACCATGCAGTGTGCCGTAATAATCAATGACGTCATCGCGTCTTGACAGCCCCCTAAATAACGGTTTCAATATGGATTTTTTCAAATATCCCGAGGAGCGTATGTGATAGACGAAAACCGCAAATACAAAAATTGTAGCTCGTGATGCGGCCTATGACACCGTTTGAACCAATTAGCCATATTTTTTACGATTTTTGATTTGCATTTACTCTAGGTCTTTTAGATTTTTGCCTACAATTTGAAAACCCTGTATATAATCGAAAAAATGCCCGAAATAAATGTTATTGCACTGGATCTTCGGCGTCTGCTGGTTAAAGAATTTTGCCGATCGGGTGAACGATTATGAAGGAAAACATTTTTTTTTTCTACTCCCGCCTGTAAACTATCTAATTACCCACCGATCTAGCGTGCGGGAAGCATCACTTTACCACGTCAGTTTCGTTTCCCATGAATCCGAGCCACTTCGAACATTTTCTAGATTTTACCGCACGGATTTGGGAGCAATCGGATGGATATTTCCCACGCTTTGAATTTTGAGGTTTGTCAATTCTGACGGTCATATCAGTGAATGTATTCTTGTTGATTTGCGAAAATTTACCCAAAAACTAACGGTCGTAGAAAAAGTATAGTATGCAACAGGTTCGGTAAACTTTTTAACTCAATCGTTTATTAAAAACTTGTGAGTGAAATGCCGTTTGCGCACTTGTTGCATAATATACTATTCTGGAAGCTAAATTTACCAAAAAAAAAAAATCATTTTTTTAAAAAAATACTTCTACAAATTTGGGACACTTATCATAACTTCTGTGTCCTCTGGTTCAAGAATTTTTTTGGTCTCGTAAACGGTTTTTAAAAAATGATGTTTTAGGTATACGCACACGCGATTTTTATTTTTTTTTAGAATACTTCCTGACCCCCCAGCCCCCCCATTTTCAATAGGCTCCGTCTCGGGGCAAAGCTGCATATATGTGCCAAATATGAAGTCGATTGCTTCAAATTTGTGTGTTTCATAGCAATGTCCAAAAAACAGTCGAAAATCGCGGAGGGTTAAAAAGGGGTCAAATTTTGTAGCTCCAACGGTTCGAAAGTTATTCAGGAAAAACCAAAAGACGAGAACGGAGAACGGACAGACAAAAAAAATTTTTTTTTTCGACGGTGATCATTTTTGTACCAACGGCAATTCCATCCCATACCGTTACCGGGATATACAATTTTTACACGAGCATAGATACTTTCGAAAAATTCGATTTCATCGATTTTCGAAAGTAACAAGAACGCCAATATCGTCGACAAGGGATATTACTAAATAGTGGAGAATTGAAGAACAGGAATAAACGTAGTGATTTTCAAACTCACCGCATCGACAATAGTGATCAGGACCTAATAAGAAGAAAAATATAATGTCTATCAAATCGAAGTTGTTTCTACCTTGAATAAACTGAAAAAGAAGCTAGAAGAAGATGGAACCAATATAAATATAAGCTGTGCTACCCTCTATAGAGTTGTTTGTAAAATGGGATTTAAGTACCGCAAAATAGACAAAAGGCAAGTATTAATGAAACCACACACATTACGCACCTGGAGATTTAATTACCTTTAAGAAATTGAAAGAGATAGATTAGACAACAGATTCATAATTTACCTTGAAACATGGTTTGATACACCCGACACTGCAACCAAAGGATGGGTAGATTCCACTCAAAACCGGCAGACGAGGGCACCTTCAAATAAAGGAGAATGCGTCACCGTAATGCACGCTGGGTCAGAAAATGAATTTGAACCAAACTGCTTGCTGGTGTCTGCAAAGAATATTGGGGACTCTGGCTTGGATTATCCTGAGGATACAAGTGCCGGACTTTTTGAAAATCGGTTTTAGAACATTTTGAAACAATCTTTTAAAATATTAACAGTGTTATTGTCGTGCATAAAGTAAGTTATCTCAGCCGTCTGCTACGCAAGACACGAGCCTCATCAAATTCAATAACTGAAATCCAGGAATGTTTGTTAGAAAATGATCTTTTTCTAATCCCGTCTCTAAAATACCTAATTGCACACCGACCTAGCGTGCGGGAAGCATCACTTTACCACGTCAGTTTCGTTTGCCGCGCATCCGAGCCACTTGGGACATTTCTGGGATTTTACCGTACGGGTTTGGGAGCAATCGGATGTTTTCGGAGATATTTCCCACGCTTTGAAATTTGACTTTTTGTCAATTCTGACGATCATGTCGGTGAATGTATTGGTGTTGTTTTGCGAAAATGTACCCAAAATCTAACGGTCGTAGAAATAGTATAGTATAGTATACTATTATTTTGAATTCGGTAACAAAAAAGCATAAGTCCTAAATTCATATGCAATTAAAAAACAGTATATATGCGATAATTTGGCTGAACAGGGTGGGCATACCAAGTAAAATCAAAGGTGAAAGCAGAAAATGTTACTGCTATTTTAAGTCCTAGTGTTATAAATTTATTTATATATTTATATGGCGACTCTCATGGTGAAACGGAATTAGATTTAGACATTTAGAATAAAAAATGTAATTATGCATAGATATTCCTAGCTATGAATTCGTTGTATATATTTAATGTCATTGGTTTTTCTTAGTGCAATTTAATAAGATTATATCCACTTAAATGAACAAAACAAAATTATATTATTACCAAAACCTTTGAGAGTCCGTCCCTAATGTTTTGTCCTTTAATATTAAATTAATTAATTAAATTAAATGGACAAATAGAAAAGGTCAATTCAAAATCAAAGCCACTAAGCGAATAACAAATAGTTATCTGAACTCCGAGTGAACCCTCTCGGTAAACAAGGTGTTAAACAATCCTTTTGTGATTTGCATACGACTACGTTATTGAAGACACTGGGTAATTATCAATTCACACGATGTCCTCTTTTAAACCATATCGGCGCGGCGTCCGTCATCGCTCAATAATGAAATTGTTGAACGTTTAATGTCGATAGAATTCGTTCGTATGTGCGGATGTCGACCGTCTACTTTGTCGGTCCTTAAATATTTAACAATACATTTAAGTAGCTCGGTTTATACGTACCTATTGTATAGTAATGATACGACTTTCTTTTTGCATGTGTTGCCAAAGGACTGTTCCGTTTTAGTAAACAAAAAGTGTGAAAGTGTGAT